TTTTAATTTGAATATATTATTTTTATGTAAATGTATTGGCAGTTAGTTTTAGAAAGGATGAAAATAGAGATGTTAAGTAGTTTTAATACTAGCTAAGATTTTGAAAATTTTGAAAGATCATCTCGTAATTAATTCATACATTTATCTGGATTTTTTGATGATGGTGATAAATAACTTGATATCTCGATCTTTTGCAATATCTTGATTCTAAATGAGGGTACACTATATTTTAGGAAATTACAAATTCAAATTGAAATGAAATTGGAATTATCTAGTTTTGATAATAATAGTAATATATTGAAATTCAGTACGAGATATTATAAAAAAATGATTTTTTTTTAAACGATCAACAAAGAAATCCATTTGAGTAAAGTCTTTTTAAAAATAAGAGATTTATTTCTTTGAATTCGTTATTTTTATGTTGAATAAAATTAATAATTTTTATTGAAAATAATTCTGATTTTCCTTTGATTACAATATCACAATATTGATTTGGAAAAAATTAAATTATATTGTCTTTTCGACATTTCGACATGAAAATTCGACTCGTAAATTCGTAATTTTCTTCCTTTCGTCCATTCGTGCAAAGTTGAAATTAATTCTTAAATCTCTTCTGTCGAGGGAAACGCGCAGGTCACTGTTCTCATCGAAAAGAACTTATGTTAGAAAAATAGTTTGGAGAGATTATCCGATGTTGTTTTAAAACTTTACTTTCGTTATCAAACTTTCTTTAATCGCACTGAATTCCAAACGGTGGCTACCCTTTAAACATTATTTCCATTCCAAAAGTTTCATCGTTGTTGTTAGTCAACTCAACAAATGTTTAGTTTCCCCAGAGCGTGTTGTTTAGATTTCTTCTCGCTAGATTGTCAACAAAAGCTTTGCTCAATGCTTCTTACGTAAAGAATTAGAATTCTTGTTTATTGATCGAGAAAAAGGATATTGTAACATAATATTAACATAATACGTTAAACAAAGTCAACAAATGCATTGAGCTTTGTGAATTATTGAACTAGAAAATTCTGATTGAATGTTATCATACATTTATTAATAAATTATAACAGATATAACAGATATGCGTGTATCGATTTATATTTATTTAATAAATTCAATTATAATCGCGTTTCATTCGCCAATATTGTACGTGCGTATATACAATAGTAAAATCATTTCATATTTAATGAAAATTTACATAAAATAATGAAAATACTATCTTGTATTTTAAGTAATTAATTCTTAATAGAATAATCATTAGAATAACTTAAATTAATTTTTCTTTTTTTTATTCGAAACGATTAATATTTTTATTCTAATTTTTCTGTGTCTTTACCATTATCTTTAAATTATAATTTGATCAATTGTTTATTCGATGAGAATTAGCCAATTCGACAAACACAATAGAACAATTTTCAGTAAATTTATAATGATTATAATG